TGGGCTTCAGGGCTCAGGAGACTGCCCTAAAGCCGCTCGCGGCTTGGAAGCAGGTGTTTGTAGCTCTTTTTTCACTACTCATCCTCAACATCTCGGTCTTGACGTGCATGGTCAAACATGTGCACCCCTGTCAGCAGGAGGTCGAGCTCCTGGGAGATCTTGCCATCGCCATCCTTGTCGACTTGCTGCATCAGCTCAGCTTTTGCCTGAGGAGCACGTGATATTTCTGCATGTCAGAACTCAAGGGGACAAGCATGATTAGGCAAGCATGGTCTTCCCGGCAAAGACATGGACCCGACAAACTTGAGAGCCTCGGCCCGCGCACACGCGCCCACACAGACGCAAACACACACAGCTGGTCGAAGCTAAAAGCCGTGACAGCAGCTACTGTGCAACCCATATGCTGTTACGCCGCATTGTGCACTGCCTTTCTTGTACCATCGGCCGCCGCTGCATACAAGTGGGCAGATAAGAAACCACCCAGCAACCTTGCAGCACCAAGCGTGCCCCTGCAAGATCGTAGGAGCCTCTACGAACCAAGCCTGTTTCCCCAAGCTGTCGTCTCTACTGGCAGAGTCTTCGCACGTTTTCCACGACGAAAATAGTGCATGCTGGTGCAAAAAGTACAAGCTCAAGGTCCAGGAGATAGAGATTGTCAGTTTTTTGCCAGTTGAATTCGTACGAAACCGACATGTCTGATAAACCACTGCTAGAGTTTCATGCAGGAACTAACCTGGCTGCATAGCACATGAAAGCGTTAGGGGCAATGGCAAGAACATCCCGCCCGCAAGAACATGTCCGACCACAACAAGACCATAAGGGTGCTGGGCTCTTTGGGCTATGATTTGGAGAGTATAAGGATGGTTGTACCTCACGCATCCATTCTATCGGAAAAAAAGCCTCATCCGATGCAACCTAGACCGCCAGCATGGACCAGAAGTGCCAGGGCTGATAGGGGTTTGGGGCTGGGGTTTTGGGCTGGGGTTTTGGGGGCTTTTGGACGGTTCGGCGTAAGGGTTTGGTGAAATATGCGCCCCTGCCGCTCTCCACCCTACACTCAAAGCCCTCCTCGCCCTCCCCGCCCTCCCCCTCCTCCCCCCCCCCCCAAAAAAAACACCAACAACCAACTGCAAACCCAAAACCTCCTAAACCCTGAACCCCCTAAACCCTAAGCCCCCTAAACCCTAAGCCCTAAACCCTGCTCTTTCACTTCAACGACTCAACACACACAAAGGCAACGCATCCTAACCCTCACCAAGTCCGGGGCAGACGTGGCGAACTCGAGCCATTGTAAGTCCTCAGCGCAGCTGCAGGGGATCTATAAACATGCACTGTGAGAGGCAGAAGTGGGCGTTCGGAGTTTCGGGGGCCATCATTCGTAAGCGGACGTCTAGTGTGGCTTGTCGCGTCCATTGCACGAACAACAAAACCCACCCTGATCCGCAAAAACCCAGAAACCCTAAAGGTTTGAGGTTCATAGTAAGGCTTCGGGAAGCCCGAAGACCACCTTGCGTGACAAGCCGCTTCGACCGAGATCGCCTCTTTGCCATGGATGTTCATCGCGGAGAAGATCATGCCCTCAAAGTGCATTGGACTTGAGCCCTCTTGCTTGGGATGTACCCCCTTACACTGACAGCCCCTCCTGTTACAATCCCTACTAAGGACTGTTAGTGGAAGTGGAAACATCCCAAATTCTTGCCGAAGTCTTGTTGGTTCTTGGCTTGGGCCTTGCGGGGTCTCTCAGTCAAGTCTCAACCCCTCAAAACTGAACATGGTGGCACGCTTTCAGTACTTTAGATCGGTAGTACGCATAAGCCGTGCACCAATAAGAAAATTGAAACAATCTCCTTGTTACCCTTATAGGCAAGAATGTTTTCTTTTCTTTGTGGTTCTTAAGTCAACAGTAGACAAAAGGCCCAGAAGGTGCAGGGGCCTCCTCGCCACCGCTCCAGCCGAGCGCCCGAACATTCCCAGCGAACCTTGGCATGGGTTACCTCAACAACAAACCTGCTTTATTGTAGGTTATGAATTTATACATCGCCTTATAGAATTCTTAGGCAACCTATTATATTGCAGGTTATGAATTTTCAATCCCCTTGTCGACGTCTTAGGCAACCTACCAAAAAGCTGGGTGTAGGTCAGTTCGGGGATTTTGGGTGCATCATGGGTCGCAGTCTGTATGTGCGTGTGAGGGGTTTCACCGAAAGTGATTCAACCTGTTATGCCTAGCACGTGCTCTCCAAGCGGCGCCGCCGGGGTCACCATCCAAGTGCCCGGTTCACCCTGCAGCACCTCCCAAGAATTTTGACGTAGATGATTCTGGGCTTAGGGCAGTCTCTCAGAAAAGGCAGGAGGCGCGGGGGGTGAATGGGTGCCATGGGCCTGGAAACCAAGTCCAAACCCACACAAAAGGCCTACAAAAACACAAACGTGAGAACCCCCAGTATAAAACTACACTCTATAGCCTGCCCAAATACCAGCTAGATTCATTAGGCAGCTGTAATATTACGAACAAGCCCCGCAGTCTCACTTGCACCCTCTCCTGCGCGCTCTCCTGCGCGCCACCCCGGCACTTCTCGATCTCCACCTGGTCACAGCTGGCTGGAAGTCTAATTCGCGAATTCAGCTTTCGGTGTCTTCTGAGCGCACACGATGCATGCCGCGCGTGGTGCCATCAAAGTGCGCGTCAAAGCCCTTCTGATCTCACGTGGGGGGTTGTCCTAAACTAAGGGCTTCCCTATGAGTATCATGGTCTCCTGCAAAGAGATCTCAAAAGCCTCAAAGCTCCAAGCCCTCAAGGCACTTGCTGGACGAACCAAAACCCTTTGATAGGATTACGCAGAGAAACAGAAAACTCCCTCCAACCACCCCCTAGCCGCACCAAAGGGTCTTCGCGCCTCCAAGAATAACCCGCAAGCGCAAGCTTGAGGGCTTAAGAATAGGTTGTTTTGTTGTTGCCCTAAACTCTAAACCCTAAACCCTCAACCCTTACAGTTTAGGTTTCGCGTTCAGAGGCCCCCGCCTTCGTCCCCAATCGACGGACCATGTCTTCGGGATCCTCGAAGTTCTGCACGCAAAAGGCCTCTGGGGATAAACTTCTTTGGCATCTGTAAGGGCTTAGGGCCTTGTAGGGAGGTTTAGAGATTAGGGTCTAGAGGGTTCAGGGTTTAGGGGAAGAAGCGAGGCCCTTGAAGACTATCTAACTCCAGAAGTGCTGAGCCCAACAACCCCCAGACCTTGGTGGTTTCCATGGCTGTGAAACTCCCCAGAAGAGGGAGGGTTTGGCGATCGGCCCTGTTTGCTCAGGGTTGAGGGTCATAAGGCAGTCGTCACGAAACGCCACCTATCCTTCCCAAACTTCACATCCTTTGACCCTGACCCTGCAAAATCCGTCTTGCATCTGCAGGGCGCGAAAGCGACGCCATGTGGCCGCCACCTGGGCATCTATCTCCTGATGACCAGGGCTGAGCTGATTGGGGGCTTTCCGTTGCCACACACTCTTGTAGGTTTCTTTGGCTTGATGCTTTCTGACAGGCTTGTGAGTGGAGCCCACTGCGCCGGCCCGATTAGCTGCAAGATCTCTGCCACAAAGATCAGCGCAAACCTGTCAACCCTACCTCGCCCTATCCCGCAGCTATGCTGTGACCCTAGACCCTAAATCCCAAAACCTCAACCCCTACACCCCTAAACCCCAAAACAATGAACCCCACACCCGCAAAATCCCAAAAACCCTATGCGCTACCCCCGAAGCACAGATCGCGCCTTCAGTGTGAGAAAACAGCACCTGTGCTCTGAACATCTCTAGTGTTTTGTCGGCTCGCCTGGTTTCTAAACTCGGGCTTGGGGTTTTTCGGGAACTTGCTCTCTGAGTCAGAGAGGCCAAACGCTTCAGAATTCTGTTGATGGATGTTGGGGAGTCAAAGCTTTACAGGAGGATGACTGCGTGTATGTTCCCTGAACATACCAACACCTGAGCTCAAAAAATCTGCCGAGGCGCAGCTCTTCCATGGCTGACACGGCTGAGTGCAAGGCACTACTTTGAGTGCCTCGTAGCCAGATAGGCTAGATTACACAATATGAGGGTTAACTTGTGAAATGAAATCCAGGAACGGCCCATGGAAACATCGAACATTAAACGAATATCCAAGATAGATTTTGAGCCCTAAGCCTCCCCATTTGATTTTGGGACAGTGAACGGGGATAGTGCATCTACTGTTCTTGGAAGCCCTTGCCAACCTGGAACACGTAGCGCTCAGCCTCTCACTTACGCTCTACGTGAACGATGCATCTGATCAACACAAATGTAAAGTTTTAGCAGTGCGGCCTCCAAGTCCTGGCAGGGCAGCGGAAACAGTAGCCCAGCCCCCCTTTTTTTTTAATCGCGCAGATCTTGGAAACCTGCGCCCGCTGCGCCCGATGCTTTGCCTCCTCCAGGCTCCCTTCACACACAAAGCAAGTGGATCTCCGGCCAGGAAAGCTGCTGCGCCGGCTGCGCCGCTGCACCGCTGCCAGGCCGGGCCAGGGCCTTGACAGTGGATGGTACTCATGCCTTCGCCTTGGGCTTCGGCTGCTACGGCGAGAGCGCTCATAGCGGATGCTGCTCCTCCAGGCCCATGCTTTGCTCGCGTTCCCGAACTTCGCAAGGGCAAAGGCCTCTCAAGAGAAGGCCCTTCGCGCGCCCTCTGTCGCTGACCTGTGGTGCTGAGTCTCTTCAAGCGTCGTGTGGCGTCAACTAGCAGGCGCCCTGCTATCACCGGCAATGGCTAAGCCCATCACCTGGCGAAGTGCAGCTTGCGCGTGCGGGGCCGCTGCGGCGCTCCAGCGGCGAAGGGCGCGAACATTCTCGTTGTAAGTTCGAGCTGGCATCTCATCAACCTTCCAGAGGTGATCTAGAAGCTCAATCATTGATATCTGGTGTTCTTCGACATGCTCCGATCCAGTGATGCCAACGATCACTGGCTCTGGCATGGACTCTACAAGCTCGATCATGCAATCTGAAATTACGCCATGGATGTATGTGACGTTCTTGCGCGCGAAGGACTCCAAATTTGAGTGGCCCGCAATCCACACGGCCATATCGGGATCGCGGCAGTGCATGCAATTGCCGGTATTAACGACTGCATCTTCGTCAGAACCTCCGGGAGGTACGTGTCTGAGTGGCTGGCCAGCGCGAGAAGCCAGCGTTGACCTTGGATCCAGGCAGAAAGCACTCCAGCACCTGACAAACCAATCTCCCCCAGCGGGGACTTTAACCATCCCACCCCCACAGATATCTCAGAGAGCACATTGGCGATGGAATGTATGCGCCGTTGCGGGGATACGAAGGAAGATAAGCAAGATTGGAGGCAAGATGCTCTTCTTAACCATAGCGGGAGATCGGATACGAACTGCAGCAAGAGAGAGATCGCAAGAGGCGCCATGCACGATGAAGCCCTTCGTCAGTAGAGGGACAAAAAGGATCAAAAAGGAAACCCAAAACGGACAGAGCCCCCCTCGAACTCTGAACAGAAGGGGACCTGGGGTCCTCTCTTCCCAGACTGAAAGAGGCCCTGTACATAATCCCAGGACCCCTCACACGATCCAAGAAGAGAGGCAAGAGGAGATGAAAGGGAAGGCAAGCAATTTGCAAGCTGCTTTGCTCCTTCTTGGTTCGAGATTCTTTGCGCTTTCTGCTTTGGATTGTGGATTCCCGTGTACCAACCCTCAAGCGCATTTTACGAGCGCAGTACAAACCACGGAGAGCACCTTTGGAGGCGAACTCAACACAAAGAGGTTCGTGTCTTTTCGTTGCCCAAGCCTCTGCTACCAGCATAACTCTCGTAGCAGAACTCTCGTGGATACTGATCAAGCTGTGCGCCCTGGAGTTAGTTTAAAGACCCTAAGACCATGATGTTGGCCCATACATGCCCAGACCCCCGCTGACTGCAAAGCTCAATCGATGGCCCCTACTCATATCGAAAATATGTCATAGTGCACTCTCCCTGTCTCATGGGGATGACGAGTACTGCATCCTCAACCCGCGCCCGAAACCTCACTATCGTGCCAGAGATTCCTCACGAAAGCCTTAGAGGCATGAACACTTCGGAGGCAAGCAGCAGTGGAAGATCTTCTTGCCCATCAGGTCTAACAACCACCAGCGGGAAGTAGCTGGTGGTGCAGAGTGTCTCTTGGCCCTTTCGAAGACAAGGGCCGAAGAAGGCCTGCAACTCATCCAGGGCATCCATTGAAATTTTCACGGGGAGAGACTGAAAACGACTACGACGACTGCAAAAACTGATACCAGGATATTGCTACAACCACAACTAGATCAAACCAAAATCCAGTGCTATGCTCTCGGGGGGGTGGCCCTATTACATCCGCATAGCGGCTATGCACAAGCTCCGTTGGTAGACTTCACATCTGCTTCTGCGTTGGCAACGGGATGCTTCGCCTGTTCCAGCTGGCAATGTCCAGGACGTGCTGAAGCAAGGCCTGCCCATGGAAAGATTCCGCACATGCCCAATTGAAACGAACGCTGATTCAAAGACATGAGTGCCATGCCAAAACCTGCAACAAGCCGAAACAAGTGACGGACGCGTTTTTTGCTGGATGTACTGTAAACCTTGCACTGTTGGATATGGACATATGGCCTGGTTGCTCAGAATTGTCCCGGAGGTCTCGCGGAGACGTCGGATTTCATTCACCTCAGTTGCCCATGTTTTGGTATCGGGGCTTCTTCAGCAAGCTGTCCGAGTCCAGGGGGTCGTCCGAGGGATCCAATCATGCAGGTGCACTTGGCCTTTGCAGCCTTTTCAGGCGTGACTTAGATGCAAGTATCCTACGAATCCTTAAAACTCCTTGAGGATGGTTCCACATGCAGACAGATAAGACACTGCCATGCTCCAAAAGGAATCCAGGCACCGACAGCCACTCCAGCATCCACCCAGAAATATCAGGCCTGGTCGGCTGTCTTCATGCGAGCATGCAGCCCCAGGGGTAGTGGGTGGCTCTTTGCCATTTTCACGTTGAGAGAAAGAGAGAGAAAGAGAGAGAGAGAGAGAGAGAGAGAGAGAGAGAGAGCGAGAGAGTGAGAGAGTGAGAGAGTGAGAGAGTGAGAGAGTGAGAGAGTGAGAGAGTGAGAGAGTGAGAGAGTGAGAGAGTGAAAGAGTGAGAGAGTGAGAGAGTGAGAGAGTGAGAGAGTGAGAGAGTGAGAGAGAGAGAGAGGTACAAAAAAGCAGCAATGGAAAGAAAAACAAGAAAGTGGCCAGATTTCAAGATACTTGCATCCTGGTTCAAATACACCCAGCCAGGATCGAGCCGGCGACCCCTGCATTTGCCAAAGGTGATCAAGACGAGAAAAACATTTCAGAGTCCTTATCGTCTAGTGGTTAGGACCTCGCGACAACCCTTGTTTAATTCCTGGTGGGGACATTTGCGAGATTGAGAGAAAAAAGAGAAAGAAGAGAAAGAGAAAGAGAAAGAGAAAGAGAAAGAGAAAGATAAAGAGAAAGAGAAAGAGAAAGAGTCCTGTGAAACACATGACCCGCACAAACAAGACGAGGGAGTACATCCCCCCCCCAAATCTACAGAACATGCACTACACAATGAATGTTGCACTCCAAGCTGCAACTCCATCTTCAGCTGGCACTCTTCCAGCACAATGCCTCCGTCCTTCCTCGGCAGCGTAAACCATATACGCCCCAAACCCTAACCTGAGTAAACCTTTTGCTTTAACGCCCTGCTTTTCGCTGCTTTGCAACTCTTCCAAGCGAGACGGGGTCCAAATACGAACATGTGGTCTTGTCATTTAGGCATCAGAGTTGCAAAGATCTCGAACACGATGAGGCATGTAACGTGCAAGCCTCAGAGAAACCCTTCAAAGATCTCCAAGCTCTGCCAAGCTGGGCCAAGCTGCATCCAGCTGGCCGGGATGTCTGGAACCGAATGCCTCCGTAGGGATCTCTTTGCAGGTGAGACAAGGGCGAATAGGGTATTGTATGGTTTTTGCCGTCAAAAGACGCTTCATCTGGCAACTCCAAGAATCCCCCTGAAATCATGGGGAAGGAAGTTTGGAAACTTCACGTTGAGGGGCTTTGGGTGACGGCTTTTGCAGACTTGCACATCAGGTGCCAGGTTTCAATCCCCGAACGCTCAAGTTCTTTGCCAGGCTGCTTGCTGATCTCATCCGCCAGGGTGCCCAGGTAGATCTGCTCAGTTCTCACTGATATAGTTCCGTCAATGGAGTTGTTTACTAGGTTCTGGGTCTTAACTTTGTATTTGATGACATTCTTGTTTATCCTGAATTTAAAATTAAGTTCCGATACTATACCTGCACTGAATTTAACTTGCGGTTCGTATCCTGCCTTTTTGCTTTCATAACAGAGCTCGGCAAGGTCATGACCATCATATATCAATGTATACTCAGCATGTTCGTTATATTTCTTTATGTCGTTAAGTGACTGTATCATTTTACATTGAACGGGTTCGTCCTTCTCATTCAGGTGATAATCTGGTGAAGCCTTCACTGAAATATCATACCCAGAGTTTCTTGGTAACATCTGCCTTAATACATTCAAATTATCGGTTACTGTGTATATGTGGTTGTTCTTCACAATGGCATATAATGTTGGTATATGATGATCTCGTTTGGGCGGGTCATACTGAAAAATCAGTCTCTCAAACGCATTGTATATTCTGACTTGGATCCTGTAGTGCTCAAACACTTTAACCATGATGCACCTGATGTTTTAAAATCCTTTTCTGACTTACCTATCAGGGTCAACATGCTCTGTCTGGTTAGTCTGTTCTTTTCTCTGCGCTTTTCTCCCATAAGTGTGTCCTTATAGTAATCGGTTATGGTGTTCAACCAACACTGGTTTTCTTGATAATGGTTTACTTTGATTGCTTCCTTTAGTGTTTCGTATTCTGGGTTTAATGGAGTTTGTATGTATCTGTGAAACATGCTCACATGTGAAGTGTCAGTTAAATTCTCGTCCACTGGTATAAAATCAGTGTCACCATCTGCTCTGTCTACATCCTTAACTTTGATGCACACTATGTAGGAATGGACGAAGCGAAGGGTTTCCTCCATATCTGGGTCAGACATTATTGTCTTCATCAGTTTCTTAAAAAGATATCTGTCTTTAGTTTCGTATTGAAACACACGTCTGCCTGATAAGTCTTCTATATAGTCTGTTGTTTGTATAGTTGCTCTCTTAGTCTCATACCAGATCGGGATTAGGGGTCTACCCTTGCTGTCTTTGAAGGATGCTTTGATGGTATCCTTGGGGAGTTTAAATTTGAAGAACATAAGGTCTACGGAATAAGCATGTGTTGTTTTGGATTGTTCCGCTCTCACCCTCTTCTGTATTCGCTGAACTGCGGTCTTCTGTGTTAGTCGTCTGCGGATTTCTGTGAGTTTGTTGTCACGCTTTGCTGTTTGCATTCTTTCACCCAGTGGTTTCTTTTCCTTGTGCTTTTCGTATACCTTGTTGTATTGGTCAATTGCCTTTTGCTTTTGTTGGTCTGTCTTGGCATTGATGAAGTTCCTTACTAGTTTGTCTGCTGTGGTGAACTGCGCTATTTTTCTGTCATCGTATAAGCCGATGATATTTTTGATTTTAGTTTTGCTTGCTCTGTTAAGTCTGCCTTGATAAAAATCATACACTGTCTCTAATGCTTTTACACCGCGTTGGATGGTCTTACTCATGTCAATATAATTAGATTATAAAATAATTTTTATATTTAAATGTTTTTCTGAAGAGTTTTTTAAAACTAAATATGTTTTGGAAAATTCTGTTCAGAAAATTCACTTAAAGAAATATTATAATATATAGTATAGTAATATGTCTATGAAAACCCCAGAGGATATGACCATGGAAGAGATAAGAGAACAGTTGGCAATTTACAACCGACTGTATTACTACAAGCGAAGACAGGAGGAAGGATATATGCAGAAAAAACGCGATTCTGCCTTGAAGTGCATTCAAAAGAAGAAGTTGAAACAATATCTAAAAGACAACAATATCAATAGCACAATAGAAGATTTAACCGAAGAGCAACTGGCAGAATTCAACAGCAGTCAGAATAAGAAAGGACCGAAGTATGATATGAATAATGTTAAAGTTGTGATGCCCATGAAAACAGAAGAATGCTGATTTAATTTTAGAAATAAGATTAAAGCAATATTTTCGTATGATATTTATATGAGTAAGCAAGAGATTATTAGTAATGTGTATTACGATCGCGCGGGATATGGGAGCAGACAGAGGACCTTAAAGGAAGCACGGGAGAAAGATAAAAGTATAACTATTGACGATGTCAATGAGTTTTTCAAGAAGAACGTGGAGGCAAAAAGAAAACCTGTCGGACAGAACAGTTTTATAGCACCGCATTCAGCATACGAGTATCAAATGGATTTGTTTTTTATAAATGATCTGGAAGATCAAAAGTTTAAGGTTGGCATGATCATGATAGATGTCTTTGATAAGTTTATGCATGTGGTAGCAATTAAAGGTAAAAAAGAAGAGGATTTAGCAAGTGGAATGATTGAGTGTTTGCATAAGATGGGGAAAAACCTAAGAATATCTATACTGATGATGAGGGTGCTCTGTCTAAAGAAGCTATACAAACAAGAAGGAAAGGGTTGGTAACTGGAGTAAAAATACATATACCATAGAAGGAATAGAAAAGAAATTAAGTCAAAGTTTTTATTATGTGGAAGGTATGGACAGACCTTATTTAAGGGTTGAACTATTGAAGATTTAATCTTCTTTGGAAGCTGCTTTCTGAAGGAAAACATTTACAGAAATATTGTGTATATATATGTTAGAATACAATAATGAAAAGATTTCATTTTGATTTTGAATGTGGAGTGTGTAAAGAACAGACATAGAAAGCCAGAGGTGTTGATGTGTATATATGATGAAAATGTAACTGATAATAGTACTTCTTATCTTGCCTGTCATAGTTGTTCAGACATACTGGGGTACGAGAAGATTTGTAACGAAAATAAACATGACCGGTTCTGTAAGGCTCAGCACAAACACATCATATTATAAATGTTTTCCTTTTTTGATAAGTCATACCAAAAGTTAGAGAACAACAAGAAAAGAAAAGAGTATTCAAAGAGAATAGTAGAACGTTCGGAATTCTATAATAACGCCTCTAAGTTACTAATGAAGAAACGTATACATGATACATCTTTGTTTAATATGCTAGAGAGTTACAAAACAAACTTTACTCTGAATAGAATGGGGTACTTTAGTTTCCAGTATACAGACAGAATGATGGAAACAGTCACATACAGACCATGCTACGAAGATGATGTTATAAGTGTGGTTAAAACATACTTGTGACAGACATAGAACATCAAATACACTTGCGGAGAACATATCTTGACCTTCCTACAATACACATGTACATAGCAGATCACAAGCTATGACGATCATAATATTATTAATGATGTTCATAATACTATGATCGTTAAACGCTTTTTGTTATAACTTGATTTTTGTATATTGTTTTTTATTTGGTTTGACGGTTTCTTGTTTTCTTAGTTTTTTTTGCCAGTATTTGTGTGGTTTTTACATGTATAAGTATTTCTGTAGGTTTTTGACACATAAGGCGTTTAATATTTGTTGGAGTTTTGTTTTAAGGGGTTTTAGGATGCAATAAAGGAGAACAGAAACCCACAAACCAACCCAAGGCACTGGAAGTGGTAGAACAGGTTCAGCTTGAAGTGCTCAGTGTTGTGGAGGACGATGCCGGTCTCCTCACAGGGAAGGAGTGGGAGGTGTGTCGGACTGTGAAGCAGCTTTGCACATGTCATGCGCAAATGCAGTCTTTCCTCCAAGAGACTCGCTCCGACTGAGTCAGTCTGATTCAGGTCGTGAGCAAGGCTGTCGCTCTTAGGGCAGCGGCTGGCCACATCCCCCGGTGCACATGAGCGGACGGGCGAAAACAAGATCTAAACAGGCATAGTGAAGAAAAGGGCACCCAAACTGGTGCCATAATCGCCCAGCTGTCACAAACTAAAAGCACAAGCCGGGCAGGAGCTCACGCAAGTTGACCGTGTCAAACTTGACCCTCTGGTCTTTGAGGAATTGAACCTCACCCGCCTGTGAGTCGCCGAGGCCACCACGAGCTTTCTCTACCACGAGGATCTTGCAGCCGGCTTGGATTGCTTCCTCTGTCTTCTTCATCCATAAATCAAACCATTTGCAACCAAAATCCTTTTTTCCTTCATAAAGGCGCCAGCAGTAGCACTTTCCCTTGCAGTCTGGGTCTGGCACATGGTCGCCAAAGCCATCGGCTGTTTTGTCAGGGAGAAAAACACAACTGGTCTTGAAGAATTGAAGATTCGGCTGCGTCAATCGCGTCCATGCTCTACCATGCACGCCCGGAAAGCTCACAATGGCATAGTCACCTCTCTGGAAGTTGTCGGAGCCAGTGTAGCGCACCCTGACCCCTTTATTTTCTTCCAGGACTTCATCCATAGCAAAGGAAGATATGGCCCACAACGACCTGTCGGGTCCGGTGCCGCCTTGCCGAAAGTCAATGGGGCCGGGCCGATACATTGTACTGCAAACACCACTGTTGTGAGGCCGGGCGCAAGAATTGCGGCAGCTTGTGGCAACAGAATCCGGCTCTAAGCCTGAATCAGAAAACTCTTGAGACAAAAAAGTCAAGGGTATGGCAACAAGTTGAGAAGCGTATGAAATTATTAGTCAGCAGGTGCATGACTGCTTGGACCTGGAGTCGCACACAGCCCTTACGAACATCCTGATGTCCAAAATGCCTTGGGCATTGCGGTCGTTGGTACGCAGCCGTCGAGACGTCGCTGGTAACCGGCGTCGCAGCCTCCAGCCTTAACGCGCCCCTGGTGCGGCAGGCTTCTTGCGTTTTGCCCATCGTCAGAGCAGCATCTTGAAGGCTCAAGAATAGGTGAGGCGGGAGTGAGAGCGGCACAGTCACAGCCATGCCCCGAAGGTGTTTGGACTTTCGGACTTTCAAGGACATAGCATCGCCAAGGAAGAGAAGAGAAGAGAAGAGAAGAGAAGAGAAGAGAAGAGAAGAGAAGAGAAGAGAAGAGAAGAGAAGAGAAGAGAAGAGAGAGAGAGAGAGAGAGAGAGAGAGAGCGAGCGAGAGCGCGAAAAAACAAGAGAGCAGGGCAGAGCCCAGCAGCGGCTCATGGTCGCTCTCCTCGTCTTCCGCATCCATGCGAAAGTAGGCGCAGCTTCCAGCTGGCCTCGGTCTACACAGTCCCACTCTTCTATTTATGCCCAGTTCTCAGTGACGGGCGTTTTGGGCCTTGCCACTGGGACTGACAGGGTTTGGGATAGTGGATCCTCGCAATGTCTGACAAATTTGCGAGGCCTGGCATGGCCTGGCCCAACAGCGGGGGTGAGAACCTTTCAGGCTTTGCTTGGAGTTAGACCTGACGGGGCATTGAACGCATCTAGAAGAGGAGCAGTTGCTCCGGGTGTGGATTGATCTCGCGCTTGGCCATCACCCACAGCCCACACACTCAGAAAGCGAGCAGTGGAGGTTCCGCTGCGCAGGGTCGTCTCGCTCAACGCACGTCATGGCATGCCCCCAACCAAGTGCCTACTAGTGCCTACTGCTGACGAGGGTGCATGTGCCAGGCTGCCATTCTAATATGCTGCGCAGCAGCATTGGAGGCAGCGTCTCCTGGACCTTCGGCTTCTTCCGGGCAGTTTCTGAACTTGCGGAAGGTGTGGGAAAGCGCTTTCTCCTCACCCTGCTCCGCGTCTTCGCACCTTTGACAGACCTGGGTCGTTCGGAACACACTGCCACATGATTCTGGCCAATGGTTTGCCAAATCCCCTATTCCTTCGCGCTTTTCAAGAGTCGCCAAGAGAAAGGGGGGAGCAAGGAAGTGGCAAGACCGCGTGGACAGCAAGGCACCCTGAAACTTGAGAGCAGGGCGAACGAAAGCTAGGGCGCAGGTGTGAAGACCGCGCTGCTCAGCTCTGAAATGATAAGTAACAATGCTGACCTAAGGGGGGGCGGGGGGGACCCCCCCCCCCACCTTATCGGGAACATGGGCCCCCCCCCCCTTAGGTCCACCAGCCTCCAAGGATTTCTTGTGTGGCCACCCCCAGAGGGGGGGGGGGGGCCCCCCCCCCCATTAAGGCCCCTGGGTGCTGGTAAACAAGAACTCCCGCAAGCTCCAAAGGAGCTAGCTTTCGTGAAAAGTTTAAAAGGTTTCCAGCTTGCGCAAATGTGATCCCGGGACAAAAACAACCAACTGAACGAGCGCAGCCTCACGGCGATGAATGGCATGCCCACTACAAGCTGCAAAACTGACGACCACAGTAAACGAAGTACGATCGAACGAGCGGGCGCGAGGTCAACAGGGTGGAGCTGCTGAAGGGTGTGGCACCTACCTCCCAAACTCATGTAGTGATGCACCGTGTCGTTTCAAGCCGGAAAGAAAGGGGGTGGTTCCACAATCCCTGAGTTCTCGTGAAAGACTTCCAAGAACCAAGACAAAGACCTTCCCCAAGCTCTCGACGAACAAGCTGTCAGCTCTCGTGATTGCGACTCATGCCGGCGAGAATCTGACCATGCAGCTTGCCGATCTGTCACTCCAGGCTCGCCATGCGGGCGGCAATGGCAACAGATGACTGGTCTTGTCGCTCGTAGACGCTGTGCAGCAAGCTGTCCAGCCTGGGCCAGTCACACAGGTGCTTGCTCGCGCTGCATAGAACAATGAAGATTCCAACAGCCGCATGCTGCTGGAACCCTTTCTCAGACCTGGACGAGGTCAGCTGCTGTTGCAACCTTTCGAAACTCCCGGTAGAGGTCGGCGAGTCCGCCTGGCGCGCGAACGTGCGATGCTGCAGAAGTATATCGTGTGGTACTACGGTACACATCGGTGAAGCGCATGCTTCCAAAGCATTGTTGCGCTTCTTCTGCGAGTCTGGTGCTTCGGGGCTGTAAATACCTGGAATTGGAAACAACAAGTCGAGCACAAAACGTGACCGTTGGGAATGGACAGATCCCGGACTCCAAATGCTCCACCCAGCACGCAGCCTTGTCATGCTCCTCGGAATGCTGGGCCGCGGCATCAGGTGCCAGGAGTTGGTGCAGAAGCCGCAAGGCTGTGGCATCCATGGCAAGAAAAGGAGAGGAGACAAGAAGAGAGGCAAGAGGAGATGAAAGGGAAGGCAGGCAATTTGCAAGTTGAATTGCTGCTTTTTGCTTCGAGATTCCTTGCGCTTCCTGCTTTGGATTGAGGATTCCCGTGTACCAACCTTCAAGGGCCAAAAGCTGCTTCCGGACGTGCCATTTATGAGCGCAGTACAAACCACGGAGAGCACCTTTGGAGGCGAACTCAACACAAAGAGGTTCGTGTCTCCAAGCCTCTGCTACCAGCATAACTCTCGTAGCATAACTCTCGTGGCCTCTCGGACATATGTGCAAAACTTGTGAAGGAACTTATCCCGATCAAGCTGCGCGCCCTGGAGTTAGGTTGAGGACCCTCAGACCATGATGTTGGCCCATACGTGCCCATACCCTCGCTGACTGTAAAGCTCAATCGATGGCCCCTACTCATCGAGAATATGTCATAGTGCACATATGCCCAATGGAAACGAACGTTGACTGAAAGACATGAGTGCCATACCAAAACCTATAACAACCTGAAACAAACGACAGACGCTTTTCTGCTGAGTGTACAGTAAGCCTTGCAGTGTTGGATATGTCCATGGCCCGGTTGCTCAGAATGATCCCGGTCTCGCGGAGATGTAGGATTTCTTTCACCTCAGCTGCTTGTGTTTTCAACAAACTGGGCGCAACAGTTTGCTTGGCTGTCTTCTTGGAGTTTCGGATAAATACTCTATTGTCTGGAAACCGGCCAAACGAACGTCAGGCTCGAGCTGTGACAGTGCCTGATCAAATCTTGGGTAAGGGGCTACCATTTCGTTCACGTTTGGCTCAGAAAAAAGAACCATGGTCCATGGCAACCTGTAACAAACACCATGCTGCTTGGCCTGAGATTCGCTTCATGCTCATAACAGATGCTGAGCCTGAGGAGCAACTTAGCCACAACCAGCAGCAAGGCATGACCATGGAAGCCAAGGGGCAGCGGAACATCTGGTCGAGTGTCACATCGCCAGCAAAATGCTTCCGCAAGAACTCCTCTCCGAGTTGTTGTGGATCTTCGTCTGGCTTGTCGCACAGACAATTGCGCACTGCTCCTCCCGCGATGGCCACAAAGGGCGCCGCGCAATCTGGCCTGTCGGCAGGGCCAATCTACAGATAGGGAATCGGAAAGCAGGCTTGCAACAGAAGACCTCACAGATGATCATGGCCCGGGCCAGCTGCTCTCGGCTGAGGGTGCTTCCCGAGACTAGGCCACTTCTGACAAGACAGGGCCTGCTGAGGCTGCCCCAGTCAACAACGTGTAGCTTCAGTGCCTGAGAGCAAGATACGAGTCCGAGCGAGGCTTTCGGCTTTAGACCTTCTTGAATGATGACATCAGTTCGCGAGGCCAGAATCCCTGCCCCTGCACTTGACGAAAAAAAACGAACTAACCCCTACCTCCTGCAAACCCAAAGCCGCTCAGATCCATAATGGCCAGAGACCCACGCAGTGCCTATGCAGGCATGAACTTGGGATCCTCATAACCCCACATGTCTGTAAAGAAGTGTAAAGAGCATGCTTAAAGAACACCTCCACGAGGTTTTGGGAGCAAAGACCCTGAACTCCTAGACAGAGGTGCGGATCAGCTTTCGAGGCCCGCTTACCAAAGAGAGCAGTCCGAACACCCCCGTTCACTGCAGACACTAGTCCGTTACGAATGTACTGGGACTAAACAAAAGAAGGACCCTCCGAACGCTCCCTTCTTTTTGACTCTGTGGTGAATGCGCGGACGCAGATCCGCAGTACCCGGAGAGACCCAAGGTCAGCCGGCCACGGACAGACTGCTGGACGGATTCTCCGGACAGCTGAGTTTAGAGCACGTGAAACTAAACAGAAGTGATCAAGAACCGCAAGGTTGACAGAAGCGGAGTAGCCCCTGCTGATCGGGGATCGCATTTTAGCGATCCCGGAGCAGCAGGCGACGCGGGTGCGTGCCTGATATGTTTCTGGCAAGTGGTGATTGAAGGCGGAGCCATCACGGCCCAACTGGACAGATGGGCCACATTGGACCAATCTGCCCAGCCGGAGCGCAGGCCACAGCGAGTAAGGCGTGCGGCAAGGAAAACGGAAGGAGGAGGGACGTAACGGACAGCACCGTGGAGCATTACCGACCTGCGAGCCAAGACTGCAGGCGGGCGGACTCGCAGGCGTACATGCTATGCCGTTGCGTGCATGCAGCAAACACCCCTGTACAAGTACATACACGTTCACTGCAGACACTAGTCCGTTACGAATGTACTGGGACTAAACAAAAGAAGGACCCTCCGAACGCTCCCTTCTTTTTGACTCTGTGGTGAATGCGCGGACGCAGATCCGCAGTACCCGGAGAGACCCAAGGTCAGCCGGCCACGGACAGAATGCTGGACGGATTCTCCAAAGGTTTCGGGCTTCAGCTTAGGGGTACAGCAGGCCAGCATTCTTCAAGCAGGAGCCAGGCAGCCGGACAGATCCTTTTCAAGAGGGTATGTGCAGGTGCAGAAAGAGGACGGAAAGGCTGTCCAAGGTACCTCGGATCGTTGGGCGGGCAAAAAACCCAGGAGGGATGGGTCATAGCCACGACTGAGGCTATCAGCCAAATCGTTGCGGAATCCCGGAACGTGATCGACATGGACGGAGATGAACTGTCGTTCCTGCAGCAGGAAGAAGGAGCGGAGTAACGAACTGAGACCTCGAGCAAGCGAAAGGCCTTCCCATGAGGCCGAGTCAGCGGCGGAATTGTCGCAACGGAAAGTCACGTGAAGAGGTGGGTGACCAGACGGGAGCAGACAAGAGAGCAAGTGCAGGAGTCCACACTGGGCGAGCAGCTCCCAGGCTGCTAGATAATGCTGCGGCGGCTCGTCTGCAGGGAACCATGGGAATAGAGCGTGCAGCTGCGATTGCGTGAAGGTGTACTGAAAGAATAGGCAGGCACCGTCGGGCAAACGCACAAAGCCCCCAAGACCAGCTGAAGTGGACGATGCGCAGGCATCTGCAAAAGCTTCACACTGAAAATGCGGGGCTAGGAGCAGGGTGCGGAAGTCAGTCGCGGATTTGCAGATGTCCAACCAGAGATCCATAACCTCCCTCGAAGCATCTGATATGACACGATGCGTGTGCGACAAATCCGAAATCTGGACCCACAAACGTCGACTGGACGGAGGGAAGGCAGGCAAATCGGATCGCTTAGAGACGGCATTCTGTGCAACGCGGAAGAGCCGGGACCCGACCGGAGCAGCTGCAAGACCACATGGCAAGCGGACCAGCAGATCCTCGGAAAGGCAGTCCACCAAGCGCTTCCAGGAAGCCGGCGAAAGCGGAATACTCACTAGTGGAGGGCAACACTGATCTTGATACAGAGGAGCAAGTGACGGCCTGAAGGCACGGAATAGGTTGGACAACCAGAGGAGCTTGCCAGTCAACCTCTCTAGGGTTGAGGTCGGCAGTTTGTTGCGTCGACGGGATTCATGAAGGAGAAGAAGCAAACGTTGGAGCTTTGCGGGCTCCAGGCGGACCGTGTAGGTGCGAAAATCACGCAGGCGTACATGCAGCAAACACCCCTGTACAAGTACATACGCAGACATCCTGAGCGAGAGAGCGAGAGAGAGAGAGAGAGAGAGAGAGAGAGAGAGAGTGAATGACGTAGGATGTTTCTGGCGCTGGGACTCTTTGCTCAGGGTATGATTATCCATGTTGCATCTACTCAGCTCACTGTTGCATCCAGCTCGCCAAGAATCGTGGAGTGAAGCTCCGAATATCCAAACTCAGCTTCCACAGCAAAAACAACGAGAGACCACACCCAGGGAACTTAGACCCCCGTACTAAGCACGCGGACTGCAAAGAGACTCAGCAACAAAAGCGCCACCGGCTTATGGGCCAAAATGCGTTAGATCCGCTCCCTACCACTTCCTTTCCAAGCAGCGGGAAGGAACTCGAGCAGAGTCAGCCTGAGTTTTGAAGGTAGTCATAGCAGGGGAGATATATATATATATATGAAAAAGGCATGCCACCGATCCGAACTGCGCCCCTTCTCCTCAAAGCTGTGAAGACTCAAGCGTGCGGCGAAGTAAGGGTGCTCGAACTAGTGGGACCACAAGCACAAGGACTTCTCCCCGCGGCCCGCAGCAGGTCACCCAAAGCAGCCGCCTGTGCTACTCAAGCTTGGAAGGAACTGTCGGAATTTGCCAAGCTGCAACAATGGCGAAGAGCCACCGAAACTGTCATTGAATGGCGGCCTGAGTTCAAAACAACATGCCCCTGCGAAAACCGCAGCTTTGTTCGTGTAGCTTGATTCTTGAGGGACACTGCTAAAGATTTTAAGTTAGAGTCCACGAGGGCAATGACTGCGTGCGATGACCCGTCGGAAGCATTGCGTTGAGTCGCAGCTGTCAATGCATATGTCATTTACGTACAACGTTTTGCGGCCCACGTAGCTGCTTGGTAGGGCAGCGTTCACAGTATCCATTCTTTCTGGACCAACCACGCAACATTCCTAAGCTCGAAACCCCGAAACTTTAACCCTTGCCAGGAGATCCCGTGTACTGTTGCAGTCAAGCAGCTCATCTGCGGAAGTCTGCAGCAGTTGGCGTTTCAAGCTGGAGAGCCCGGTGTTCCTTCGTGGCTGGGCGTTGCATCTGCGTGGCATGTGGGATGTCTTACGATTGGTCCAGCTTCATAGTCTGTCATGCGAAAATCACAGGGAATGAGAATAACAACATACATGACAATCATGAAGCCTGCATGCCCCGCGGTACCCTCACGGGAGAAGTCCTCATGCTCACTTCAGGGGAGAAAACGCCTAAACGGCAGGAATCTTCAAGACTGAGCAGCTGCTTCGCATCCTAAAGTCCTGCTTGCCACCATGAAAGCTACATTCACCAACGACTGTCGATCTTACCATTTTCATACCTCTTCCATCGTTGCAACGAACTATCCTTCCTTCTCCGCAGCTTCGCTATCATCATCATCATCATCATCATCATCATCATCGTGATCACGATTTGAACAAACTATTTGACCTGAAGAAAGCCCAGGCGCAAGCTCTCGCAACTCGCATCCGCCTCTTGGGAAACGTTGTGATGTCAGAGACCAATATCATCTCGATATTCAATTCGCCAGAACTTACACGGGAATCAACACGGAGTACTATGACAGCTACCACTGTTGCGAGCATCGTCAGTAATTGCACGGTCACAACACGTCACAACTGTCACAACTGTGATCTCCCCTGTTCGCACCTGCCCAGGACAGCAACACAATCTCCACGCTTGAAGGGCAAGAAGCCAGCGAACATCAACTTGAGAATTCCCACGCTGCTCGACTGAAGTCTGACATGTCAGGTCCCTATGAGTTGCTTCCAATATGCTGTGGACTCGAACCGTTCCAAGTTACACGCCGTTGGCGCTGAAATGCTTGAGCCACACACATGTGACCGAGACTTGCAACCATTAAGCGGGGTAAATTGCCTTGCTGGGTACCTAAAGTCACGTTCCTAGAGCCGAGCCGATGACACCAAAAAAACAGCGACAGTGTCCCCGCGCAAGCGTGCATTGAGCGGTGCCATGGCTGTATGGGCGTTTACGATCTTATCGGGGTCCTGCTTACAAGGGGATCCTACTATTTGGGGTCTATATTTCTGGCTCCCTAATTGTCGTCAACCCCCGTACGCCTTGCAACCTGCCTTTAAGCATCTGGCCGCAGTCAAGACATTCCCAGGGCAGCTGCACGTGCACAGTCTAGGAAACTGCTTGTGGCTTGTGTGTGTGACCCTTGGATTTAAGTGCCCAGCGCCAGCCGCGGATTCAACTCTCAGGAGTCACCATCAAACACACGTTACGCCGAGACATCGACGTAATTTGGACGGCGGCGTCGGCCCACGAAGCTACGATGCGTTTGGGAGCTGGAACACATGAATCTGTCCAGGCTTGAAAAGTGTGCGACTGGGCGCTGTTCTGCACGCACTGAAGCCGAATCAACCGGAATAAGTTTTCAGCGCGAGCTGCAAAG